TACATCTGCCTAAGAGTATGTCTGGATACAGAATTCTGGGTAGGAATCCATTTTCCTTCAGAAGGCACTGCTTCTCCATTAGCTTCTAGTTTCCAATCTTGCTACAATCCTATGATTCCTGACCCTATCTATGTGATTTGTAGATATTCTTTTATCTTTATAGTGCTCAAAAATTGCATGATGTTCTACCTTGGCAGGGATATTTTTAAAATAGTTGTGCATGACTACTGGAGAGTCCTTTTAATCTGGAAACTCATGCCCTCTGGTTTTGAGACAATTCATTTATTTAACTTTTTGCTTTATTTTATTGTGGCTGATTTCTTCATGTCATCCAACAATAACCACCCATTATCCCTTCTTCCACTATCCCTTCTTGTTATAAACACCTACAAACCGGGGCGCCTGGGTGGCTCAGTTGGCTAAGCATCCGACTTCGGCTCAGATCATGATCTCACGGCTCATGGGTTCAAGCCCCGCGTCAGGCTCGCGTCAGGCTCTGTGCTGACAGCTAGTTCAGAGCCTGAAGCATGCTTCGGATTCTGTATCTCCCTCTCTCTCTGACCCTCCCCTGCTCATGCCATCTCTCTCTCTCTCTCTCTCTCAAAAATAAATAAAACATTTAAAAAAAAAAAAAACCTACAAACCTCTGGGTCATTCAGTTCTCCACATTCCCTAAAGATTTTTAGCTTCTTGATCACCAAACCACCAGCATCTGAGTCCATACACTCATCACAGATGAACTGTCCATGTACCTATCTAGTCTGAGGCCAAAATATTCATCTACGTCCTACATCCCATTCCCTCTCACCTGCTCAAGGACTTCACCCCTGCAATTTTCCCTTCTGTACACCATCATTCCCAATCATCTTAAACATTTTCAGGTGGATTATAATGTCTGCCCACCTAAAACCAAAAAGAACTCTAACACTTCCACTCTTCCAACCACAGCCTTATTACTCTGCTCTCTCTTAGCCACACCCTATTATTCTGCTGTCTGTCACAGCCATCCCCCTAGGGCTCTGCTCTTCAATCCTTGAAACAATATCATTATGGCTATCTATATTCATTGTCTTCAGTTCTTTTCCCATTTTCTCTTAAACCCACTACACCAAATCTGCTCTTGTCAAGGTCACCAATGACCTCCATGTTAACAAACCTAATAGTCTATTCTTAATCCTCACCAGCCCATCACGGAAAGCCAAATGACGGTATCTGTCATTTGGCTTTTCAGGAGTGTCCTGTATTCTTTTTTTCCTGTCTCAAAAGTGGGAAGCCACTATCCATTAGGATTTGGAAACCATTTCTACACTGTCTTTCCTATATGGGATATCCTGGGACTTGGACATTGGTCTTCTTCTCTATCTACATTTACTTCCTGGATCTCTATCCAGGCTCATAGATAAAATAAAAATGTGAGAGTCATCAGTATGGTACTTCCAGTTGCAGTCTTTCTCTTGAACTCCAAATCCATTATTTCCATCTGGATATCTATTAGGCAACTCAAAATGAATAAGGCTAAAACTGAACTCTATTTTCTCCACAAACCTGCTCTAATTCCAGTGTTTCCACTATCAGTAAGAAGCAACTTCATCCTTCCAACAGTTGAGCTCAAAACTGACTATATCTTCTTACATTATTGTTCTTTCAGCCCTTTTTCTTCCTTTGTGCTTATTTCTCAACACTCTTTATTATGATTTTTACTGTTTCTGTCTCTTTCCACTTATAAAGGAGCTCTTTGAGGGTAAGGGGCCTGCCTTGTTTGTCTGAAGCCACAACACCTAGCACAGGTGTTATGTATATAAAGAGCACTAAAATTTAAACTAACAAACAAGTCCTGAGCAGGATCAGGTTCCTCTGCAGAAAAAGATTTTTGGAGGAAAGCATATTTCAGCTAATTACACTGGTTTCTTTATATAAGTCAAGATAGTCAGCACTAACTCCAAAACCTCAGTGGCTTGAAACAACGAAGGTTCACTACTTTCTCTGTATGTTAAACATAGGTCACCTGGAGGTTTGCTCTGGCTGCCAGACTAATGGGCAAGCTACCACCTGAAGCCCCAACAGTCACAATAGAGGGAATGATAGTGGCAAATTACGCACCAGAAGCTTTTACCATTCCTGAGCACATTTCACTGATTAAAAAGAACTCATAAGGCCATACCCAACTTCAAGGGGGCAAACAAGTATAATTGCAGCACATGCCCAGGAGGTGGAAGCCAAAAATAGTTGATGGGCAACACTGATGACTACCACATCCTGATAAAGAAGCTTCTAGTTCTAAGCATCATTTTAACTCCTGATCTCTATTCTTCATCTTTGAAAATGAACTCCATTGCTAGAATAGAACCACACACTTCCAAACTACTATCTATGGGTCTTTAGGAATGTAACTTCACCAGTTAGGCCTGCCTCTTTCATCAGTCAGGAGTTAGAGCGCAGCAAGGCAGCCAAATATGAGTGACAGGAAAGTGTGGAGCCCATAGCTGCCACTCAATGTCAAAAGTCAGGGTAGGGCTTAAAGGGGTAAGAAAAGCTTGTTCAGCTCTGTGGAGGTAGGATAAAGGAGGGGAACTTTGACTAAATTTCTTTTACCAAAGGTATATGGAACAGCCAGGCCTTGGGGTTCCTTGCACTATCCTTTGTCTGAGGACCAAGTTTCACTCAAACTACTTAAGACTCAGAGTTTATGATTAGCAAAGTTAGCCAACATTAATCTAACATAAAAACACTATTTAAAAAAAAAAAATCCTGTGCACTGTCATGCTCCTAGAAACCAGAAAGGCAGCAGTCAGAGGTGGATTTCACTGAGAAGCTTTTTTCTCCTAAAAGTTTCAAAGACTCAAGACTCCTGAGCTGAAGATGATCTAGGATGAACCCCAAGTCTACAGAGAGCTTAGATTTAACGGATGGCTGCTCCAAATTCTAAAATATCCTGTGCAGCAGTGTCTAGCTAGCTTAGCAGGTAAAGCATGCAGCTCTTAATCTCAGGGTCCTGAGTTCAAGCCCACTGTTGGGAATGGAGCCTACTTAAAAAAAAAAAAAGTATCCTCTGCAGTTTCTATTCTGTACAAAGTTCAAATATTTTCTAACAGTGAAAGTGGCTGCCAAAAATGTTAGGACAGATTGAAGATGATTACCATAAGCAGCTAAACACTTGGAACACAAGGAATTCCACTGAAGGGCAGCACAGGAGTTCAAACAACGTCACCTGCCAAATTTGAAGCAAATTAGGACTCCCAAATGCAAATGGGTATCTAGCGCTACCTCCTCCATTCTTTATTCATTCAACAATTGTGCATTAGTTGCTGGAGTGGGGGGAAGGAATGCCAGGAAGTGAGAGAGGTACAGGATTCTAAGATTTAGTTCTTGCTGAAACAAAACAAAAACAAACAAAAAAACAGATTGGCTAGCAAAAAGTTAAAAATACAATGCCTTAAGTACCATAACAAGGATACAAGAAAAGCCATTTTAACATGTAAGTTAACAACTTCCTTTCAAGGGAACAGATTTTCTTTGCTAAACTGCTAAAATACGGAAAATGGAAAACAAAAAACCCTCTCTCCTGATTTAAAGACAGTTTAGCAATCCCAAAGCCGATGTCTCTCTCTTTCCTTTCTTGCCTCTCAACGATCTCTGCTGCAAATGCTCCTTCATTCCAACCTCCATATTCTGCTAGCAGCCCCATAACAGCTCCTTCGCAAACAATGCCCAGACTATCAAGGTCAGCCCCAAAGGCACTGGGAGCAGAAATCGGAAATGGGTCTTCCTATAATGAAAGGGGGCGGGACCCTCCCCAATACCCCCATACCGAGGCACCCAGAGGCTGGGTCTCTAACCCCAGGGGCTTGGGGTCCGCCAATTCCTCAGGGGGTTGGGGTCCGCTAATTTCGGGGGTTCTGGGCCTCTTTTTCCTATTCATCCGGTTAGTTTTCTCTCCTGCGAGCCTAATGACCTCCACCTCCCCCCAACCTGAGCTCCCTATTGTGGAATGAGGGAGCGTCGCGATGCAGGCTGGGGCACGGGGAGGTGGGGGGACGCGCAACAGGGAAGATGCTGTCAGCGTGTGTATATGCAGGAGGCAGAAGGGGGTCACTTTTTAGGGACGCTGCTGTCAAGGGGAAAGGCTCTAGAGGAGACCTACTGTAGGGGAGAGTACACGGAAGCCGTTTCTGGAGGAATCTATTTGGGAATTCTACCTAGGGGAGCTACTGTAGGAGCGGGGTGTCTCCATACATAATCCTTTCGGGGGGAAATATTCCAAGGGAAAGGCAAGTGGGTTACGCACAGAGAACCCACTGCGGAGGTTCTCCACAGGGATGTCTTTTCTGGGAGAAACTACGGGGGTGGGGATGTCATAGTAGGGGGTCTACAGAGGAGCCGCTGTGGAGTCGTCTGCAGGGGAGCCATTGTGGGAGCCGCTACACAGGGCGCCGTTCCTGGGGAAACGTTCCTCTGGCAGCCGTTTAGGGAAAACCGTCTGCAAGGAAGCCATGTCGGACCACGCCCTGCGGCTGGAGGCGTCACCGGACCCCAACAGCCCGCAACCCCCAGCCCGGCCTCCCCTCTACGGCCTCGGCCCCGCGTACCTGACAGAGGGCGACCCGCGGCCGGGGCCGCTGGGGAACCGCCCGCGGGGCAGCCCCAGCCGGTGCGGGGGATACACGTCCATGGCGGCGGAAGAGGACGCTGCGGCTGCGAGGGTCGCTCAGGCCCGCCCGGCAGCTCCAGGCCCGCTGCAGCCGGGCGGGGCGGCTGGGCGTGCCGGGTGGGCGGGGGGCGCGGCGCGCAGGGGGCACGTCGAGGCGGGGGCGGGGCCGGACGCGCGCACGGAGCGTGGGTGGGGGCGTCGGGACCCGCTGGGATGAGGGTGGGCGCGCCGCCGCAGGGCAGCGCTGTCCTTAAGCTGCGAGGCGGCCGGGCGGGACGTTGAGAACGCGAATCCCCAGGGTGAGGGTTTCCACGCCTGGGCTCTGCCCTATCCTCAGATCCCGCATCACGGAATGGGACTCTGCTGCGCCCCCAGCCACCCACACGGACGCGCCCGGGGGCGGGGCCTTATTCCGTCCCGCCCCACACCGCCGGCTTCGGCCTCCAGCGAAGCCTTCCGCTGCAGCAGCCGCGTCCCGGGGCGCCTCGGGAACCTAAAGCACCTCCCAGGTTCCCGGCTCGCTCTTCCAGATCTCCCAGGCTGGTGCCTCGCTGCTCTTCCCTCCCCCGCTGCTAATCAGCTGCGCAACTTCCCTTTAAATATCCTGCCTATTCCTAGCCGACCTCAGGTTAGCAGTGCGCGCACACTCGTGCACAGGGCATGGGCGTCAGGGGCTCATAGGTTCTCAGGGAATCCCTGCCCTTTACCGTTCAGATCCTGGCTCGACCTGCTTCCGACTACCGCGTCCTTACCAGAAACCTAATGCATCGAGACTCAATCTTTTCGTGTGTAAAATGGGGGAAATACACTTAATTGTTAGGGTTATCAGGAGTTTCACTTATGCACGACATATTTTGATTTTGTCTTGCGTCCCGTATTGATTTGTCAGGATGCTATACATGCCTCGTATTCATCTTTTTGCAATTACAAAAATGTTAGAACTGTTTGTCGCCAAGGTAATTGGAGCTTAGATCGCTTAACTGGCAACCCTGTTTGAAATATCCTATACCTCTGCAAATAAAAAGATCTGGATAGTATCTATAGTTGCTCCAGCAGGTTTAGCTGAGGAAGACCAAAAGAAAGGGCTAGAAATTAAAAGTACGTATTCTTATTCAAAAGACTTTTCTTGGCTCAAGTTTCGAGTCGTGAACAAGTAACTACCATTATTTAGAAATAACTTCACATCAAAAACAAGCTTTGAAAAGCAGCCAATCAGTGACTGCTTCGCTCCAGGGCTTTGCTTCTAAAAATCGGCCAGTCAACAACAGCTTCACTCCGGTAACTAGGCTTCTGAATGTTAGTAAATCAATGACAGTCCCAAACTTCTGAAAGTCAGCCAATCATTGACAGCTCCACGCTTCTAAACACCAGCCAATCAGCAAGTGTCTCGCTCGGGTGACCAGGCTTCAGAAGTTAGCCGGGTCTTCAGCTGCCTTGGAAACCTAGCTAACACAGCTGGAAGTCAGTCCGTGGGGAGCTGGATGCTTCCGCTTCTGAAATACCTCCAATCCCGGAACGCAGGGCTTCCCAGAACATCATATAAGATCACCTCTGGCTTTGTTCAGGGAGCCTGTGCTTTACCAGTACAGCTCTCCTTTGCAGGCAGAGAAGTTCATCTTTTTCTGCATCAGATATTGAGATCAATTGTTTTTTAATCCGAAGTTCACAATCCTTTTAAGATTCAACTCCCAGCTAACATTAGTGATATGAGTTTGGGCTTGTGACAAATTCAATGACTCAGCCATGAGATTTATCAAACAAAATTTTCAGTTCTTGCGATGGTTGATGTTATCCTTTCCTTTTATTTTTTTTTGCAGTTCTATGGGTGTGTTCACAAATTTGTACAGTCATCACCACAACTAGTTTTAGCACATTTTCATCACCCCAACAAGGAAACCTACACCTTTTAGCGGCCATTCCCCCATTTGTATCCAATGGTTCCAGCCTTAGGCAACGATGAATCTTTATCTCTCTGTACAGACTTGTCCATTCTCAACATTTCCTATAAACGGAATCATAAGTATGTAGTCCTTTGTAACTGACTTATTTCATTTAGCATAATGTTTGCAAGGTTCATCCATGTTGTAGCATGTATTAAAATTTCACACTTATGGTTATAATATCCCATTGAATGGATAAATCACATCTTTCTTATCGACTTATCAGTTAATACAGATTTGGGTTATTTGCACATTTTTACTATGTTTTTTAGCCAACGCTGCAATGAACATTAGTGTACAAGTTCTAGTAGGACATATGTTTTCAGTTTTCTTGGGTATATTTCCTAGGCCTGAAATTACTGGATCATATAGTAACTCTAAGCTTTTGAGGATCTTTCAAACCATTTTTCAAAGCAGCTGCACCGTTTACATTCTCACCAGCAATGTATGTGAGTTTCAATTTCTCCAAATCCTCAGCAACACTTATTATATATCTTTTTTATTATAGCCATCTTAATGGGTGTGAAGTGGTATGTCAATGCGGCTTTGGTCTGCATTTCCCTGATAGCTAATGATGTTGGGCATCTTTTCATGTAGTTATTAGTCATTTGTATATCTTTTTGGAGAAATGTCTGTTCAGATCTTATGCCTCTTTTTATTGGGTTATTTTTACTAAGTTGTAATAGTTCTTTTTTAAAACGTTATTTATTTTGAGAGACAGAGAAAAAGCATGAGTGGGCAAGGGGCAGAGAGAGAGGAAGTGAATCCCAAGCAGGCTCAGCACTGTCAGTGCAGAGCCAGACGTTGGGCTTGAACTTATGAACTGTGAGATGGTGACCTGAGCCCAAGTTGGATGCCCAACCAGGTGCCCTGTAATAGTTCTTTATATATTCTAGATAAAAGTCTCTCATCAGGTATATGGTTTGCAAAAAAAATTTTTTCCCATTCTGTGGGTTGTCTTTTCACATTCCTGATAGTGTCCTTTGAAGCACAAAATGTTTAATTTTGATGATATCCAATTTATCCATTTATTGTTGTTGTTGCTTGTGTTTTGGTGTCATATCTAACAAACCATTGCCTAATTCAAGGTCACAAAGATTTACTCCCACAATTTCTTCTCAGAGTTTGTTTTGGCTCTTAAATTTAGGCCTTTGGTACATTTTGAGTTAATTTTTTATTTGGTGTGAGGTAAACAGGGTCCAACTTCATTCTTTTATATGTGGCTATCCAGTTGTCTTAGCACCATTCCTTTTTTAAAAAAAATTTTAAAGTGTTTATTTTTGAAAGAAAGTGCGAGCAGGGAAGGGGCAGAGAGAGAGAGGGGGACAGAGGATTCCAAGCGGACTCTGTGCTGACAGCAGTGAGCCCAATGTGGGGCTTGAACTCACAAACCGCAATATTATGACCTGAGGGAAGTTGGACACCTAACAGACTGACCCACCTAGGTGCACCTATTTTTAGTTTTATGAGAAACTTCCATGATGTTCTCCAGAATGGCTGCACCTGTTTGCATTCCCACCAGCAGTGCAAGAGGGTTTCCCTTTCTCTGCATCCTCGCCAACATCTGTTGTTTCTTGTGTTGTTAATTTTAGCCATTCTGACAGGGGTGAGGTGGTACATCTCATTGTGGTTTTGATTTGTATTTCCCTGATAATGAGTGATGTTGAGCATGTTTTCATGTGTCTGTTAGCCATCTGGATGTCCTCTTTGGAAAAGTGTCTGTTCACACCTTCTGACCATTTCTTAACTGGGTTGTTTGGTTTTTTTGGGTGCTGGGTTTGATATGTTCTTTATAGATCTTGGATACCAACCCTTTCTGAGATATCATCATTTACAAATATCTTCTCCCATTCCATAGGCTACCTTTTAGTTTTGTTGATTGTTTCCTTTGCTGTGCAGAAGCTTTTTATCGTGATGAGTCCCAATAGTTCATGTTTGCTTTTGTTTTCCTTGCCTTCCGCGACGTGTCTAGTACAAAGTTGCTCTGGCTGAGGTCAAAGAGGTTGTTGCCTGTGTTCTCCTCTAGGATTTTGATGGTTTCCTGTCTCACATTTAGGTCTTTCATCCATTTTGAATTTATTTTTAAGTATGGTGTAAGAAAGTGCTCTAGTTTCATTCTTCTGTATGTCACTGTCCAGTTTTCTCCATGCCATTTACTGAAGAGACTGTCTTTTTTTATATTGGACATTCTTTCTTGCTTTGTCAAAGATTAGTTGACCTACCTAAAGTATTTTCTAATTCCAAAACTGTAAGCAAAATTTCAAATGCCAAGACAAAATATCTACCGCAGTAATTAAAAATGTAATGACTCCATTTGCTGCTGTAGTGATTATTAAAGCTCTAAATGTTTCATCTTTCTATGGCATCATCTTGGATGCCAGTAATGATTGACAGCGCAGAAAAATTTTTTTCCTTTGTGCAATACTCTTCTTGTAAAAAGGCTCACTTGTCTATTTTGAGAAAAATCCCTTCCAAATGAGATTTCAGAAACAAAAGCAAATTTTTGTTCCGACTCTAATTGAGTTAGGAGTTAATGAAGAAAGTTATACTGCTTTTGGTGGTGACGATACAAATACAAATGTCGGTAGATGTTTGCATGAAGTCCCGATGTTGTCTATTCAAAGCTGAAGGTAAAGCATGAATGATTCTATGGAAGCTGTTGGCTGTCCTGCTTATATCACGCATAAGGCTGCTCAAATAGCAGCTCATGTCCTTCCATTTCTTTGATGTAATTGTCATGATATTGTTCTTTTTTTTAATTGTACTCTTATGCCAGCATTTATATCGTTAAAACTGAACAATTAAGGGATTTTTGTGATTTTGCTGGCATTTAATATTTTTCATTTCTCTTGTTAGCTCTCTTTAACAAATGGAGTTGAGAGAATCCTCAGTTTGTTCGAAGCACTGGAATCTTACTTTCATTCTTAATAAAAGCTCCCAAAGTTCTTACTGGCTTTAAAAATAATCCATTAAAGGAAACCAATTATTTCTTGTTCATAGTTTACAATATCTCCTTAGCAATCGGATTATGCAAACTGAAAGATAAGTGTTATTGTGACACCCATTGCTTAAGGAAACTGTTGAGTGTATTAAAAGGAAGACTGATGAAGAAAAATTTATCCCTTTAAGTATCAAGGCTGTTCTTAAAAGGAACAACACTACATATGAAAAGGAAAAGAAATTCTAACTTGAAGTGAATAATTCTTACAGCACATGTCATGAATACTTTTTGAAATGGATTTTATCTTAAAGAATTTGATTTTTTTTGTACATGGATATTGCTAAATAATCATATCTGACAGCATGGGAACAAGTGGAATCGTCATGTGTAGTATTGAAGAAGAAGGGAATAAAAATTAATGATAGTACTGTTTTTTGTTAGTGGATGTTTTAAAAAGTTATTGACTAAGAGATGCAACATAATACTGAGGAATGGAAAAGCAAGTCATGCCATGAAAGATGGTATCGGCTTCAAGAAACCAAGTTTGAAGAGCAGTTCTCAAGGTTGTTACTCTATTCTAATACATGTTCAGTATACTGGCTCATAATGCTAATGTTGAACACATTTTCCATTAATGACTGATCAACAGACAAAAGAACTAAATAAGTTAGATGTGACGACTGCAGAAGCTATGATATAAAGGAAAAGAACATAGATTGTATTTGCAAGGAATTTCATAAGCAAATT